CTTGGGCCTAGAATCTGAAGTAGAGCTTCCTCTACTCTTGACTCTGCCCCTGGAAATTTCAGCTAATAATTTCTTGACTTGCCTTACTGATAATTTCCTCAAATGTGAAGGAACACAGGGAAATTCTATCATGCACCTGATTCCCAGCAACGTGGAGGAACTGGCTGCATTAGTGGAACTGATGTGAACCTTGGAGGTAGGCGGAAGAGAGTGTGATTATATCATCTTAGGGTTAGGAGTTGCAACAGAGAAAAGTCAAGAATACTTTAACCTACACCCCAGTAGCGCTTCCTATAAAATGTGTGTTGTTATGGTGAATATCCACACAAGATTTTAAGACTTACAGAACAATGGCTTGAGGGAATGCATTGATAGATATCTCTAGAATACTGCCCACCCTCTCTTAGGGGACACTCCTGCCTTGAAGGGAAACAGGAAAAGGGACCATAAGACTGGTAGATATATTCTCCATGGAGAGAGAGGGATACCACACTAGAATTCTATCTCTTTGTCCACCAAAATATTGTTGGTGTAGGGGCAAAATTTTAAGGGTCAAGCTACTTCTCTGGCCACCACTTCTTAAAGGGGGAAGGTAACCAAAGACGGACTTAACTCTTTTCTACAAATATTAGTTAACACAAAAAAACCATCACAGACAGTGAATAGCAAGTAAACTCATTTATCCAAGCAAATAGCGAATAAAATAGAAGAAATTCTACAGATTGGAATATACCAGAAAATACACAAGAATGATGTAAGTCGGCTGATATCTTGTTTAACCAAAAGAGAGGTATCAATCTCACCCAAAGAAATTTTGTGAAGTCTCTAAGGAAGCAGGATGGAAATCAGGAACATGCTGAGGCTCCACATTCCCTTACATGTTTGCCCCGTCCAAATTCTTTTTCTCCTCTCTCCCTGAAATTTATGTCAAAGAGACCCTGGACCTACTCACGTCCTCTTATGAAGACAGAATAAACAATGTTGCTCCTCTCCAAAGCCCTCAAGGCAGCTTTGCTCCTCACACAGGGAATGAAATAATAGCTAACATTTATATAGTGTTTGCTATGTGCCAGGCACAGGAATGTGCTAAGGGCTTTGCAATTATCTCATTTGATCCTCACAACATCCCTGAGAGGTAGACACTATTATTATTTCTATTTTACAGATGAGGAAACTGAGGCAAAAGAGAGGTTAAATGACTTGCCCGGGGTCACACAGCCAGTATCTGAGTCTACTTAATTCTAAGCCCAGCGCTCTCTCTGCTGTGCCACCTAGCTGCCCCAATTATATTACCTTTTTTTGACTGTCATGGCATTGTTGATTTATATTGAACCTGTGGTCCACTAATATCCTCAGGTCTTTTTCTCTCTCTTTTTTTTTTGTTTAGTCATGCTACTTGTGCTTTTGATTTTTTTTTTTTTGCCCCCAAGTGCATTATATTTTTCCTATATTTCACCTTGCTAGAGCTGATTCATCATTTTAGCCAACTGAAATTATTTTGGATATTGATTCTACTCTCTAATGTATCAGCTTTGCTCAAGGTCATACTGTAAGTGACCTTGGTTAGAACCCAGGTGTTTTTATTTTAAGTATAGTGGTCTTTTACTCCATCTTGAATTTGGTAGAGCTGTGTGAGATAAAGTTGGAGGAGTAGGTCAGAATCTGACAGTGAGGGTCCTTGAATGTCAGCTTATTGAGTATTGGTATGCAGTAGGGAGAGATTAAGTTTCTTCAGAGTTGGGGATTTATGTACCCTCTTCCCCTTTTTTATACTTCTCAGTATAGCAATGAGTCCTCCATTACAATGTTGGTCAATCAACAAATGTTTGTTGAATGACTAATCTATGATAGAGATAACACACAGTAAAGAAGTGCTGAGATTAGGAGACAGGGCTTTAATTTGTTGTATGACTGAGAAATAATTTTTCCTCTCTGGGCTTCAGTTTTCTCATTTGTAAGATATGGGGGTTGGATTAGATAATCTCTAAAGCAGGAGTGCTTAACCTTTTTTGGTGTTGTGCACCCCTTTGGCAGTCTGGTGAAGCCTGTGGATCCTTTCTCCGACTAATGTTTTTTAAATTCATAAAATAAAATACATAGGATTACAAAAGGAATCAGTTATATTGAAATTAACATGTAATTTTTTCCCATTCAAGTTCATAGATCCTCTGACATCTATGCACAGATAGATTTTGGGATTATGGATCCCAGGATAAGAAACTCTGCTGTAAAGTTTCTTCCAGTTCCTAACTCCGCCTTTCTTTGATACTATGTGCTTTGATACTACCCTGTGAAACAGTACCACAATATATGCTTTCCTATTAAATAAATAATTTCATATTAAAAATGAACCTAAGGGATATGATATGAGAGAGGTCTGATAAATATGGCCTCTAAGACTTGGATTCTATTTGTTTGAAAGAATTTTTTTGTTTTAATTTTTCTGACATTACTGCTTCAAGCATGGTATTTGATCACTGAGTACTCCCTCTACAGAGGCAGATTAAATCACTCTTTAGCTTAGGATATGATCTTTGAAAGTCTCTAAGCTGAAAATATTTGGCCACCATAGTTTTTGGAATATATGTAATATACATATATGTATACTATATACATACATGTATATACATACATGTATATGCATGCATATTATATATAATATATACTCTACTATATGTATATTATATATAAATTTGTTTGTACATAGCTGTTTGCGTGTTAGGGTGTGAGCTCCTCCAGAGCTTTCTTTCTAATCCCCAGTACTTTGCCCAGCGCCCAGCACACAGTAGTCAATTAATATACGCTTATTGACTTAACTTGATTTTTATGGCCCTACTTTAGCACTGACTTTCCATGTTCCATACACCTACCAGCCAGACGTCCCATGCTCTGAGGTCCTTCCCAGCTTTGACATCCCATGTTCTACGTTCCTTCCCAGCTCTGACCACCCCTGTTCTAGATCTCCTCTCAGTTTGGTCAGACCGCGTTCTAGGTCGTCCCTCAGCTCTGACAGCCCCTGTGTGTTCTAGGTTCCCCCTTCAGCTCTGACACTCTTTGACACTCTTTGACACCGACAGTCTCGTGTGAGGAAGCGAAAGTATATTCCTTCCCCTTCCCACACACCACAACATCCGGATGAGCGCAGGGAGGCAGGGGCTTTGGTAGGCGGCTACTGGCGGAAGCGTGGGTGTCTCCGAGGCCGCGCCCGTAAAGCCAATGCCGCGTCTCCATAGCAACAGCATCGCGCCCCCTTCCTTTCCTCCTCAAATTCTCCTTCAGGTGTCCAGGAAGCCGGAAACGGAAGTGCGTAAGCAGCGCGGCCCCTTGGAGGGGGCCTCTCAGGGGCGGCTTCTTGGTATTGACCAATGGGGAAGCCGCTTTCCTCTTGGTCCCGCCCCCTCCCTCTGTAGGAACGCGCCAGGTACCGGGTCTAGTATTTGGGGACGGCGGTGGACCCGGGACGGGTTCTGTGGGGTGGAAGTGGCGGGAAGGGGTTGGGGCTACCGGAGGGGCGGGGAGCGCCAGGAGGCGAGGAATTGGGAGCTAGTTATCCGGAGTCACTGGGCTCTGGATGTCCGAGTTAGAATTCGAACCTGGGGCCCGCGGTGGCAAGCCCCGGCGTCTTTCCGCTGCCGCTGGGGAAGGGAGGGCGGGCGCGTAGTAGGCGCTTAATAAATATTCCTTGACTGATCGGTAGGGTGTAGAAGCCCGTGCGGCCTTAGATGGAGCATGGTCTGTAGAGCTGGAAGGCACTTTAGATATCATCTAGAATTAGATCGCCACCCATTTCTCAGAGGTCGAAACTGAGGCCCATGGAGAGGAAGACACACATGGATTCAGGGCAAGGCTGGGACTAGAACCCAGTTCTTCTGAGTGTCAGGCCTTTCTGCCATACCACCCTGCAGGACATACCCGTGGCTTCCCGGCTTCCCTTTTTTTTTCTCTAAGGTCCACCTCCAGTGTGATATCTTTTAAGTTGCTTGACATTCCTCATCAACATTTCAGGAGATAACCCATAATGGTAGTAGTCCAGTCAAATATTTGCATTTCCCTTCTTAGACTCAGCATACTCAGCTCCAGAGACTGGAAGAATACCCTTGAAAAATGACATGGAGACCCATAAACATTACAAGCAGGTGGAGAAAGAGACGAAAAGGGACATTCTCCAAGTAGAAAGGAAATAGGATAAAGCTGGGTCTAGAATAAAGTACAAGGTCCGTTCCAGCTCTAATAGTTTATAAATCGATTCAGCAAGTATTTGTTAAAACACCTGTTGTATTCAAGGTGTGCTTCTGACTCCTGGGGGATATAAAGGTAACATTACATCTAGATTCTTCCATTAAGGAGCGTACTGTATGTAACTGATGCATGTAACTGATACAAATTAGAAAATGATTAATACATGGGAGAAGTCAAATTGGTTAAATGAGTAGGTCAGGGTCTTACCCAAACTTTGTATCTCACCCATTGTCTAATGTGGAACCCTACATGTAAGTAATGGAGAGCTAATAAATGTTCATTCAGCTGAGTAAACATGAGGAATCACTTCTAGTTGAGTTCAGGGAAAGTGTCTTGGATGAAGTGGCCTTTGAATTGTTTTTTGAAGGAGAGGAATGATGTCAATAGGCAGAAACTGAGCTGGGTATGTGAAATGGAGGCAAAGAGCCACTCTTATGAGAAATGGGACTGACCACTTGTTTAACTAAGCCAGAATGCACAGATGAAGTACTGTTAGGCTACAAAAGTAGATCATAGCCTGGTTTTGAGGGTCCTTGTGTGTCTGGTGTTTGCATAAGGGCTTGGGGAGCCCTTAAAAGTTTTTGATTATGGAAATGATGATGTTTTGATATGTGGATCAGAAAGGTTTATGTGGTAGCCTTAGGGTATACTATTCTTAGGGAGTAAGAGAAGCCAATTCCAGGGATTGAAAAAGATCAGTCAGAGGCAGGAAGACAACTGGGAAGGAGGGAACAGTCTTGTGAAAGACTAGTGAACAAAGTATGAAGGAGGAATGAGTGATTAACAGTGTCAAATGCTGCAGAGATGTCTAGGAGGGGCCTGAAATAAATGATAGGTTGGAGAAAGGAAGAACTAGAGGTGTGATTAATATAGTAAATGGTCTAGGTGAGAAATAATCAGGTCATGAATAGGAATTGGAAAGGAGAGACAAACATGAAAGAAATTTCAGATGTAGGATTTATGCAATGCTTAGCACAGTTGCTGGCCCATAGTAGATATTTAATAAATGCTAGTAGACTTGATTGAATTTGGCAACTAATTGTGAAGTATGGAAGTGAGGGAAAAGTCTAGAATAACTCAGAGGTTTCATTCTGGGTGATGGAGAAAATTGGGGTACTATTGATAGAAATAGGAAACCAGCAGGAGGAGCAGGTTTTGAGGGAAAGTTGATAAGGGACATCTTGTGTTTTGGGTCATGGCAGGATATCCAAGTAGAGATGTCCAGCAGGGAGTTGGAAATGTGGGTGAGGAAGAGAACTAACTAATTATTTTTGAATGTTAGGTGCTAAAGTTATTTCTTCATATTGTATTCAAGAAGACTAAGGTTTGTGGGAGTAGAGGGGTGACCACTACAGCACACAGATGCTTTGGGGAAGGGGAGAGAAAGAAGGCCTGAGGCCAACCATAAACAAAGCCCTTAAGATATCATGACAGAGTATTAAAAATAGAGGGGACCTTAGAGATCATCTAGTTCAAGTCTTTCATTTTACAGAAGAAGAAATTGAGGCCCCAAAGTCGTGAAGTGATTTGCCAAAGGTCACAGAAGAAGGCAGGCTTATTCAATTCTTACTAAAATTGAGGATGACCTGAAGTCATATGGGCACAAATCTCATAGACTCAGATTGTTACACCTGGAAAAGATCTTAGGAACTCACCTGTCCAAACCTATCATTTCAGAAAGAGAGAGACAGAGGTCCAGATTTAATGTCAGAGCAGGGACTAGAACTCTTAGCACTTATCACCTGACTCTTAGGTTAGTGCCATTTCAGCAAGGTTGTTTAATTTAGATCTGTGATAAGGCCAAGGTTCACTCAGGCACACTGGCCTCTCCCAAAAGTGGGCCCCTAGTTTTATGACTTGGGATAAGCGGCTGAATGGGAAGGGTGCTTCTTAACTTTGACTTCAAGATCACTTTTACAATCCAGCAATCTCCTTTCAATAGGGTGTTGGGCCTGCTCCTGTCTGTGGTGGGGTGGAACGCAGGCAGTTGAAGGGTTAAATCTTTACTATGCACACTTAAGCTCCCCTATCACTTCACTCAGGAGCCTTGGCCACTGACAGGTAATGAGGTGACCTGCTGGTTAGTCATCTCCTCTTACGCCTAAGCTAGGTCAAAATTTGTTTTTGCCAAGTGGTAGCCTCCATCTTCTCTTCCCCCTTCCTATGGTAAGATGTTTATCTTATCTTCCTCCTATCTTCTTCTCTCCTAATATGTTACCAGGCTTTGGCCAACTCTTTCACCATCTTCCTTAGAAGAGTACAATTAATATCAGCAGTCTTTAAATTTTTGACCTTAGGAAAAGCCTCAGTCACACCACCCTAATTTCAGCTCTGGAGAATTTGGCTTTGGATAGTGGTTGAACCAGATTTGTCAGGCATTTGCCAATATGGGATAATTGAAGCTGCGAGGGTGGAGATTTGAGAAGAAATTGGTCAGAGGCAGGAAGAAAACTGTGAGGGATGGAGCAGTCCTGTGAAAGACAAGGGAAGAAATAGGAAAGAGGAGTGGGTGATTAATAATGTCAAATGCTGCAGAGATGTTCAGGAGGGGCCTGAGAAAAGGCAGTTATTAGTAACTTGGAAAGGACCATATTATAGAGTAGAGAAGGTAGAGACAAAAGAGCTGAGGGTTGGAGAATGAAGGGTAGTGAGTAAGTAGAGGCAGTGAGGGTGGACTAGACTATGCTATCTATAATTGTAGCCATGATAGAAAGGGGAGAAATTGGATGATCACTTGAGGGGTAGCAAGGTCAAGGGGAGGATTATCTTTACTTTTTAAAGATAAGGAAAAGCTGAGCATGTTGGTAGGTCTAGGGGAAGGAACTAAAGGAAGGGAGAGATTGAAGACAAGCTGGAGCAAGGCTCTAGAAAAGGAATTCTTTACCTGGAGTCTATTAAGCTATTAAAAATTTTCTTTCGATGATTGTATTTCAATATAATTGGTTTCCTTTGTAGTGCTATATATTTTTTAATGCACTTGAAAACATTCTGAGAAGTGATCAGTAGGTTTTACCAGACTGCCAAAAAGGTCCATGACGCAAAAAAAAGGTTATGAATCTCTGGTCTAGAAGAAATGAGAGAGGATGGTTCTGAATGAAATAATAGGTAGCAACGGAGTAGAGGTGGATTTAAGAAAAATACTTGTAGAAGCTGAATCAGGCATAAAGTCATAGAGTGTAAGAGACAGAGAGGACCTTAGAGGGCATCTTACATGTGTTTGTGCTATATAAAATTATTCTAACAGGCAGGTCTTTAAGTTAATCCATCAATAAATTTGCCATGGACAGGCACTGCAGATGGACAACAGACTGAACCCAGAAGAAGAGAAGGAGACAGGGTTCCCCTCCATTATTTAGCAAAGTCTAAAAGTCTTCTTGTCAGATAGGTTGTAAAGGAATTCTTTTTCAGCTATGAACTGGACAGTGGACTGCCAATGAGGTCACCCCCAGCTCTGAAATTCTCTGATTCTATGGGGTTGGATGGCATTTGTAAAATTGTACCACACTTAGAGGGCATCTGGTCCATTTCTCTCATTTGACAGTTAAAGTAACAGAAAAATAAAGTGATTTGCTCATGATCACACAGTAGGATATTGACAGAGCTAGAGTGAGAACCCAGTTTTCCAATTCACAGTTCAGGACTCTTTCCATTATATCATACTGCCTGTCACTAATAGATATGCCAGGAGATACTCAGATTTATTCCCTGGGCTTCTCTAGTCTCCATACTGCTGTTACTAGTCAGGAGCTATGGCGCTACATCTTTTATATTAAACAGTTTGTTCTTTTAATGTCAGGATAATAGCCTATGTAATACTTGTATTAGAATTATTTGCCATCTTTTTCCTATACCCAATGCACATGGCTTGGAAGCCTCCCTTTATATCAGGTAATACAGAGAGGTGAATTTTTTTTTTTTAAAGCAGTTGGGGTTAAGTGACTTGCCCAGGATCACACAGCTAGTACATGTCAAGTGTTTGGTCTGAGGCCGGATTTGAACTTAGGTCCTCCTGACTTCAGGGCTGGTGCTCTATCCACTGTGCCACCTAGCTGCCCCTTGTAGGATATTCTAAGTGGAGGGTATGTGACCTGTTCAAAAATATTTCAGTAAAATAGAAAACCATTCCCCTATAAAACAAAAAAAAAGGCACTCACCTATTCTGTGACAATCGAAGACTTGAGTCTGTTTACTCTTCACTTGGAATCAAGATAGTCATTTTATAATAGGAGCCAAAGAACAAATGAGTTTTGTGCTAGGTGAAGGTCATCATTATTCCTATTGTACTGTTCTTAATGTATTTACTATTAATTGAGTAGTAGCAGTGCTTCAGATCTGAGAGGTTGCTTAATTATATATGATCCTTATCTAGTAGATTTGTAAATTGGACAGATAGAAGATGGAAACATGGGAAGAGGATGGAAGTAATTGGTAACATTTTTATAACCACTTTAATGTTTACAGTTTACTTTGCTCACAACAACCCTGAGAGCTAGGTAGGACAAGTATTATTATCCTCATTTCACTGATACCCAAAGAGGTGACTGGCTAAAGGTCAGTCAGTGTTGGAACTGGGATATGAATCACAGATATCAAGTTGAAAGCTCTTTTGAATTTTGAATTGCTGCCATGATCTGGTAGTCTCAAGTATTTATCAACGCTAAATTTGTTTTGGTTATTTTTGAGGATGTGGTCAGTTCTAAGGTATCATTTAGGAAAAAATAAAGATGGCAGGTTATTAAATGGTTCTTTTTGCTTTTGCAAAACTGTCCACGCAATTTTGGTTGGATAGATGCGACCTGCAAAATTCCATTTCTGAAGCTTCATCCTGAGCCTGAAACTGGATATGCCTTATCTTGCAACAACAAAAAGTGTGTGTTGGTAATGCCTACATGACAAGCATGGAAAATTGACATTTCTTTAAGACAGAAGGGGATTAAAGGGTAATGTGTCTGACTCTGAGGCTTCAGAGTTCTGTTCTTTTGGAAAAAGGCTTTGCTGATTTGTTAACTTTTGTTACTTGGATACCTATATGGATCTCTGTTCTCACTGATGTGAGTATTCCCTCCATAAATGCAGATTGCAACCCATTCATGCCTTCTGTGCAATTCTTGACTCTGTCCTCAAATAAATCCTCTATAGAGGACAGCCTCAGTTCTCTGGAAGGTTTCACCTGGGATGTTTGACATTTTGTGGCTATCATTACAACACTTGTTCTGTCATCTTTTTCTCACTATATGATCAGCTTTTGTCCATTGACAACCATACGATTCCCTGGATACATTTTGTATGCTATTTGTTGCATAAGGTCATCAAAGGCAGTATGCTACAACTTTCACTTATTGTATGTATTTCCACTGCCTCATGGGGCACCTGCAGTTTTGTTTTTTAAGAGAAAGTGGTGTTTGATGATTTGATACCATAAGCATCATTGGAGGAATTTTGTTATAAAGATATATTTTTTTTTTGTTTTGTGTTGTTTCATGGGTTTTTTTTTTTTGTTTGTTTGTTTGTTTTTGGTCAGGGAAGAAGATTGGACGTTGAAAATGTGGTACAATTTTACAAATGCCATCCAACCCCATAGAATCAGAGAATTTCAGAGATGGTGGTGACCTCATTGGCAGTCCATAGTCCAGTTTATAGCTGAAAAAGAATTCCTTTACATCATATCTGACAAGCAGACTTTTAGCCTTTGCTAAATAATGGAGGGGAACCCCATCTCCCTCTCTTCTTCTGAGTCCAGCCTGTTGTCCATCTGTAGTGCCTGTCCATGGCAAATTAATTGATGGACTAACTTAAAGACCTACCTGTTGGAATAATTTTATATAGCACATACACATGTCATTATATATTTTGATAAACTGTATGTCATAGTCTAGACAATGGGCCTCATTTTCCTCATCTATAAAATAATACATTGGATTAGATGATCTGTAAGGTTCCTTGTAGCTCAAATTCTATCCTTTCTCTAAGCTCTAAGTTTAGTGGTAACTTCAGATAATAACAATAAAAACAATACTGATAGGATAGCATTGTTATATGAAAAACTAGGAGAGTTAGTGGTAGTTGTAAGCATGAATCTGGATCAGAGAGGTTAAATGAACTACTTATAATCATGCAACTCATGAGCATCAGAATCTGGACTAGAGCCTAGGTCTTATGATATTCAACTCCACTGTTATTTCCACTAAAGTAGTCTGCCTTTCCTTACTTGAATTCAAACTGGTTCTATGGTGATCACAATTTGAATCTAAAACCGGGAGAGACCAGGTATAAACCACTTCTATGAGAAACTATTTCTATAAAAGCTATTTCTTATCATAGGTCTAGAGCAAGGATTCTTAACTTGGGGTCAATGGACCACTATGGGGCTATGGATAGATTTCAGGAAGTCTTTGGACTTGGATGGGGAAAAATTATATCTTTATTTTCTCTAACATATAACTGAAATTTAGCATTTCCTTCAGTTATTTCAAAACATTATTCTCAGAAGGAGGCAATAGACTTCACCAGACTGCCAAAGGGGCCCATGATACAAAAAGTTAAGAACTCCTGATCAAAACCAACCTCATTGAGGAAACTGAGGTCTAGAGAGTCAGATAGCTAAATACCAGTAGATCCTTTACCAAACTGCTAAAGGGGTCTATGACGCAACAAAGATTAAGAATGTCTGATTTAGAGTGGGAAGGTCAGCTGGTCCAGTCCTCTCATTTTCTACATGAGGAACATAATGCTTAGAGAGGTTTAGTGACTCTAGTACCGAGAGTGTAAGTGACTGAGACAATATTTGAACCTAGATCCTCTGATTTCAAATCCATTTCTCCTTCTACTATTTCTATTCTGTTGTGGTACTCCTACTATAGGCTCTACCATACTACCTTTACTCTGTGTTTTCTTCACAGAATGGAGATGAATGACCCTGAGTTTTCAAAGGTTATGGACCCAATGATAGACTGTTATCCAAAGACTAGCCTAAGTTTGGGGAGACTTATTACCTTATTGGATTGCTACAAGTTAATGAATGTTTTTTGGCCATAGTGACTCATGAAGATTGTCTGCTAAGGCATGGAGGTGTTGCATTCTGTGCTGGTGGAGGGAATAGGCACATGAATAAAATTATATATAATGAAACTTTTGCATTTCTCAATATGCTAGGTATTGTGGAATGGAAACAAAGAATAAGAGTCCCTGACCTCTTGGAGCTTAAATTTCAGTAGGAAGATAAGGCATTTACACAAATCATTATAATACAAGTTATAATATGCTGTATTCAGGTTCAAGTGATCATTCTGGACGGGGGGAATATGAAAGGTTTCTTAGAGGAGTTGGTAGTTGAGCTGACCTTTTTGGTGGAGTTGGAAGGGTTGAGCTAGGGCTTATTAGAAGTGAAACAAATTTTAAGTAATTTAAAACTTACCCTCTCTTTCTGCAATTTTAGAACCATGCCACTCTGAAAGACAATTGTTGAATTATATGGGGAAATAAGTACAAAATGGGAAGATGCTGAGATCCTTTATAACATGAGGAACTTGATTAAAGCATCACATTTTATCTTCTAAACTTCGTGAACAACTTTGAAACAGTATTTTGTATTTGCTCTAAGATGGCTAATGCTCACCCATCTCTTTTGCCTTCCCAAGCAGAGGACAGTATCACCATGGCCAGCCGCATGACTGATAGCCATCGTCGATTCCTCCAGGTACTGATGTCTAATGGAATAATAGATGCACCTGAGGCAAGACGGCTACATAGATTTTTCTGTGAGCAGCATAAAGGTGAGTATGACTCCTTGGAAATCCTGAAAGTAGCAGTAAGGTGGTAATTAATGACTAGTTAAATTTTGGGCAGTGGGAAGCCAATGACAGTTCTTTAGCAGGGAAGGGACATGATCAATGTACATTGAGAAGATTAGTCTGGACATATTGTGTAGGAGGGATTAGAAGGGGAGAGATCTAAGAGACCATTGAGGAAGTTTAGGTATGACATAGTAAAAAATGAACAAGGACACTGGAAGCCAGAAAAGAAAGGAGGGAACAGGTGAAAGGAAAATTTTATGGAGGGAGGATTTGATGACTGATGGGATTTATGAGATGAGGAAGAAGGAAGAGATGAAGATGATTCCAAGGTTCCAAGCTTGAGATCCTTGGGAAACTGGTTATGCCATTGTTAGAGTTAAGGAAGTCTGGAAGAGGAATAGGTTTAAGGGTAAAAAAATGGACAAAGAACCATTGGCTTAACTTTTCAAGTAAATGTATGTTGATCATATAGTATGTGTAGACCCTGAAGAAAAGGTAAAGAAAACACAGCCTCTGTCCTCAAGCTTTCACTGTTTTCTTAACTCACTAAAGTGACCTCATCATTCCACCACAACTGCTTACTCTAAAGTTACCAGTGATCTTCTTATTGTCTAATCTAATGGCCTTTTCTTTTTCCTCATTCTTCTTGACCCCCCTGCAGCTTCTGACACTGTTGTTCACCCTCTTCTCTTTGATATTCTCTCCTTTCTAGGTTTACTATCTCCTGGTGGTTCTCTTTTCTAATTGTTCCTTCCAAATGTCCTTTGCTGGATCTTCATACAAGTCTTGCTAATCATGGGTGTTCCACAGGGCTCTTTCCTGGGCCCTCTTCTCTTTTCTCTCTATATTGTTTTACTTGGGCATCTCATGAGCTTCCATGGATTCAGTTATATCTATGCAAATGGTTCTCAGATCTATTTATCTAACCCCAACCTCTCTGGTGATCTCCAGTGTTGTGTCTCCAACTGTCTATTGAGCATCTCAAACTGGATGTCTCATAGACATCTTAAACTTAGCATGTCTAAAACTAAATTCATTATCTTTTTCCCCAAACCCTTTCCTCTTTGTAACATTCCTGTTACTGTTGAGAGCACCACCATCTTCCCACTCACCCAGCCACACAATCTAGGTGTCACTCTGGACTCTTCCCTTTCTCCCCACCATTCCAGCTTGTTACCAAGCTTATCAATCATACCTTTGTGATCTGTCATACATGCCCCTCCTTTTCTCACCTAACTCACCGTCCTAACACAGACCCTCATAGCCTCACACCTGGACGATTACAACAGCCTCCTGGTTGGTCTCCCTGCCACAAATCTTTCCCAACTCCCAACCATTGCTCCATTCAGCTGTCAAAGTGATCTTTTTTAAGTGCAGGTCTGACCGTGACCATGTTACTGACTTTGTTACCTTCTACTCAAAAAACTCCAATGACTCCTGGTTGCTTCTAGGATCAAATAAAAAATCCTCTGTTTGGTGTTCAAAACCCTTCATAACTTCTTTCCTCCCCCCATCTTTCTAGTTGTCTTAAACCTTATACCCTTCCCTTCCTCCCCCAGCCCATATTCTGTGACACTGGCTTCTTTGCTGTTCCTTGAACAAGTCACTTCATCTCCTGACTCTGGACATTTTCGCTGGCCGTCCACCATACCCAGAATGTTCTCTCTACTTATTTCTGCTTTCTAGCTTCCCTGGCTTCCTTCAAGTCCCAACTATAATATCTTCTACAAGAAACCGTTTAGAATCCTCCTTAATTCTAGTGCCTACTCAGTTGAATATTTTCAATTTGTCCTGAATATGTCTTGTTTGTATGTAGTTGTTTGCATGTTGTGTCCCTCATTAGACTGTCAGCTTCTTGAGGGCAGGGACTGTACTTTGCCTTTCTTTATATTTTCAACACTTAGCACAATGCCTGGCTCGTAGTAGGCACTTAATATATGTTTATTGACTGACTGATAGACTCTAGGATCTATAGTCTGATAGAATTTTTTTCTTTAAAGAACATTTTAATTTTGATCTCTTTCCCTAATTCAGGGCCCTTCTTTTGGTAATACTTCCTATTGAGCTCCAAATTGAAAGTGCAGGATGTGAGCTTCAGTGTTGGTGGGGGAGTTTGACAGTGGCTAGGAAGAAACCATTTGATGACACTGCTAACTTTAAAAGTATTTTTGCTTTCATTTGACCTTTTAAGTTATGATCTAATTCAGGAAAGTCCTCTAGAACTTGTCCTTGGATTGATTTATTCATATTTTTCTTGACATATTGGAGTACTAGAAAGATGTTAGGATGGTTAGGGAGCAGACTTTGCAAATATGTTTTTCTCTTTTGTTTCAACAAAAAACCTGTTCTCTGTGATCAGCTCTTAGTGTAAAGGATTTGAGAAACTGGAGAAATGTTATTTAAAGTGAAGCTAACACTGAGCAAAACCAGTTTTGTTAATTTTTTACATTTGAAGATATGCCCAGGAAAATCCCCTTTTATAAACTGGAAAGACTATTCAGTTTCTGAGAGAAATGTGAAAGAAAGAAGAGAAATTGAAACTGTAAATTATTCTTACAGAAATGATGGCCTTTCCTAGAGTATTTGGACAGCTTTTAAAAATGCACCCTACTATGTGGTGTTAATTTTGGATCTCCTTTATCTTTTGTGTTGTCTTTCACTTTGGAAATATATCCCCACTCTTTCTGACAAGTTATTTGAATTGTTTTTTTCTTGGCTATTACAGTAGCCCACTAATGGTATTTCTGTGTCTGTTTATTCTCCATTCTTCACAGTGATATATAGAGAAATTATTAAATGCTTTTTTGTGTTCTGGGAACCATACTAAACATCAGGGATGCAAATACAAGCAATTAAGACAATTCCTGCCTTTAAGGAGCTTACCTTCTCGTAAAGGAAGACAATCCATGAAGGGGTTCTGGAAGGTGGTGTTGGGGGGGGGTGTATGCATAGTCACATGGTATAGAGATGGTAGGGAAGAGGCATTGTAGAGGACTACATCAGAACAAGATGAGCTAAAAGCTGCCCTATCAGAGCCTGACTTGCCGAGGTCAGTGTCCAAGATACAGATGAGAGGGAGATTAAGATGATAGCAGGCACGTAGGCAGCATGGTGCGGAGATGGGAAGTTACTCTGATGCCAGATAATTCTCATGGCACTGATCATGTCTCTTCCCCTATGCCAGCCCTTCCATGGTTTCCATTTATTTACTAAATAAAGTCTATACTCCTTAGCTTGATATTTAAGGACTTAGACAATCTGACATGATCCTCTTTCTCTCTTCCTATCTTCTAATACTTCGCTTCATGTTCTCAATGCCTCAGGAAGAATGAATTACTCATTTTTTTACCCATTCATGGATTCCCAGAGCTGAAAGGGACCCTAGACATCATCTTTTCCAACTTGTACCTAGAGTAGAATTGCCTTGATAGCATACTCAGTAAATTTTATTCAGCCTTTGCTTGGAGACTTCCAGTGAATGGCAATTCACTACCACCCCAGGCAGATCAGTATTAACTGTTAAGAAAGTTTTGTTTTATTTTTTAATATCAAGGCTATATTGCCTATTTACAGCTTCCACTGATTGTTCCTTTTGGTTTATGGAACCAGAAGAACAAATCTAATCTTCTTTATGACAGCTCTTCACGTACAGCTCTTCACAACAGTGATGCTGCCCACTGTTCATCTTTTAAAATTTTTTTCTTTTTTTTAATGAACTTAATAGACATTACAAACACAAACATTTCAAAAGAAAATGAGCAAAAAAGGGAATTGTGTATGGAATCATAAGTTTCCATTATAGTTTTGTAAAATATATCTTAAATTTGGTAATAAAATTTCCCTGTTTATGTCCCCTTCTAAACTTCCTTTTGTTTTCTTTTGTGTTTTAAAAATATTTTATTGATGGTCTTTTCTTTCTTTTCTGCATCTCTGTCACTATCTACAAACACTCCTCCATGCTCCCCCTCCCCCAGAACAAATAGAAACCACTCTTGTGACAAATAAATATAGTTAATAAAAACAAACCATATTGACCAGGGATGGGGAGCCTTCAGCCTCGAGGCCACATGTGGCCCTTTAGGTCCTCAAGTTTGACAAACTCAGAAGTTTGGATTTAGTCAAAGGGCCACACTTGAGGATCTAGAGGGTCACACGTGGCCTTGAGGCTGCAGGTTCCCCATCCCTGAAATTGACTATATTTGAAAACATGTCTTGGGGGCAGTGCCAAGATTGTGGAGTAAAGGCAGGAACTTTCCTGAGCTCTCCTAAATTCCCCTTCCAAACAACTTTAAAATAACTCCTTGAAATGAATTCTGGAGCCACAGAACCAACAGAATCTTGGGGTGAAACAATTTTCCAGCCAAGGACAACTTAGAAGGTTGGCAGTAAAGGTCTGTCCCACCGAGGTGAGAGTGGAGTGCAGTTCAGCACAGGCCATCCCCGACAAGTCCGTAGCATGCCTTGGAGATGACTGAATCTGCAGTGGTGGCTTCTGGAGCTCTCAGCCCACAGATAGTAAGGGGTTGGACAGCTGGTCAGAAGGAGATTACAGAGGACCCTTTGCTGGCTCTGGGTACAAGACTATGTTTCATTGCCCTTATACAGTTCTGGGTCTCAGTCTCAGGGTGAGGAGGAGCACTAGCAGGAGCAGGAACCCTGGTTGAAGTTCCAGAGTGGAGAAGAGTGCTTATGGTTGCTCACAGACTAAAGCACAGGCCGGAAGAGCAGTGACCATGCCTCTCTTTGGATCATACACCTTGGAAGAACTGAAAACTTACAGACTTCCGGAGCTAACTCTGAAAACAGCAGCACCAAAAAAACCCTGAAGCTTGGTATAATGCCCTCTCTATCCCAGGAGCAGAGTTCAACTTTAATATAAAGTTAAAAGTCAAGAAGTACTCTGGAAAAATGAGCAAATAACAAAAAAAAGAAACTGATCAGAAAGATATTATGGTGACAGGGTTGATCAAAACACAAAC